TGTAAAAAGTTTTTATTAAATCTAATAAAGATAAGAGCAAGGTCTCACCTTTAACATTAAAAAAAAAAAAAAAAAAATATATACTGTATATATATAAAAGCTTTGAATTGTTCATTGTGATGCTTTGTTGGCTTGTCAGGTTAGTAATATCAATATTTTGGCACAGTTCTTTTCGATTACACACTTTTTAACTATCTTTTTTTTTTTTTTTTTATCTCCTTTTATATATGAGAAAAACATCAAAAAAAAAAAAAAAATTGGTGAGAAAAGTTGTCAACGCTTCTAAGGCCCTTGCCTATTTATTACTATTCATTGATTATTTAATTTAACCAAGCTTTACTAACGACAAATGCATGTGATTGAAATTGATATGCATGACGCTATTCTATTTTAATACTACTGATTAAACTCAGCTACATGTGAATTTCCTGCATTAAGTATATGATGTAACTGGTGGTACGTAACAAACTAATTAATAAAAAGATAATTCTATAATATGAAGTCAGGCGGTTTTCTTGATTGGTAGATAAATGGGATCAAAAGGTGTCACAATGTAGTACAATGTACTACCGGTAGTACAGTGAAATCATATCCATTAATTAAATAATTCAATAAAATGATTTTAATTCTCTACAAACAATAAAGCAGTGCTCTTGAAAAATATAATAGTTATATTGAACTGAAAAAAAAGCAGCATACATGAAAAAATGATTAATCATGAGACACACATTAAAAAATCAACTGAAATAGTGAATACCGATGAAATCGAAGTTGAGAAAGACGGACAAAAAGCATTTATTCGTTATCAAACATCTGCTGAAATGGGAGATGTATACGGAATATTTAATGTTGGCTATTGTTATCAAAATGGAATTGGAATTGAAAAGGACGAAAAGAAGGCATTTATTTATTATAAAAAATCTGCTGATATGGGAAATGCTAAAGCAATAAATTACTTGGGTATTTGTTATGAATATGGAATTGGTATTGAAAAGGATAACCAGAAAGCGTTTATTAATTTTCAAAAATCTGCTGAAATGGGAAATGCTAATGGAACGTTTAAGGTTGGTTATTGCTATAAAAATGGAATTGGAGTTGAAAAGGATGAATATAAGGCATTTATTTATTATCAAAAATCCGCTGAAATGGGTGACTCTGATGGAATGACTGCACTTGGCAACTCTTATCAAAATGGAATCGGGGTTGAAAAAGATGAACATATGGCATTCATTTATTATCAAAAATCTGCCGAAATGGGAGATAATTATGGAATATTTGCACTTGGCAACTGTTATCGCCATGGAATTGGGGTTGAAAAAGATGAACTTAAAGCATTTATTTATTATCAAAAATCAGCTGAGATGGGGAATGTTATGGCAATAAATCATCTGGGTTTCTGTTACGAACGTGGAATTGGTGTTGAGAAAGATGCACATAAAGCATTCACCTATTATCAAAAATCTGCAGATATGGAAGATGCTGAGGGAATATTTAATATCGGTTATTGCTATGAAAAAGGCATTGGAATTGAAAAAGATGAACATAAGGCATTTATTTATTATCAAAAATCTGCTGATATGGGAAATGCCAAAGCAATAAATTATCTGGGCTTATGTTATGAATGCGGAATTGGAGTTGAGAAAGATGAATACAAAGCATTCACTTATTATCAAAAATCGGCAGAGATGAAAAATGCCAATGGAATATATAATGTTGGCTATTGCTATGAAAATGGTATCGGAACTGAAAAAGATGAATATAAGGCAATAATTTATTATCAAAAATCTGCTGATATGGGAAACGCACATGCAATAAATCATCTCGGTACTCGCTATGCATATGGAATTGGAATTGAAAAAGATGATAATAAAGCATTCACTTATTATCAAAAATCTGCTGAGATGGGGAATATAAACGGAATTTTCAGCGTTGGTCATTTTTATGAACATGGAATTGGAATTGAAAAAGACGAACACAAAGCATTCGTTCACTATAAAAACTCAGCTGATGCGGGGCATGCAAACGGAGCATTTAAAGTTGGTAATTGTTATCGGTTCGGAATTGGAGTCGAAGAGGATACGTATAAGGCATTTACTTATTACCAAAAATCTGTTGAAATGGGGCATGTTGATGGGACATATAGTCTTGGTGTGTGTTACCAAAATGGAATTGGTGTTGAAAAAGACGATTTTATTGCATTTACTTATTTCAAAAAATCGGCGGACATGAAGCATGTTACAGGAATATTTCAAGTTGCTGAGTGTTATAAAAATGGAACCGGTGTTGAAAAAGATGAAAATCAAGCATCAATTTATTATAAAAAATTAGTTGATATGGGAGCGACAGAGGGTCTAAATGCATTTATAAAAAAAACAATAGCTGATCGTGTTAACGAGAGTTCTCAAGATGATAAAAAAATCGAAATAAATGATCCTTCTGAATATTCATTGAAAAGTATAGATATGGGATTAGAAATTGGTGATCAACTATTGGAATCACTAAAAAAAATTTGTCCAACGTTATATGGAATGTGTGAAGAATGCTATCAGCCGAATACAGATGAGTCATGGTGCAAATGCTGTAATGCTAAGCATTTTCAGCATGAGTTTTCAAGATGGACTAGTGGAAGCAAGGATATTGATGAATTTATCCAAAAAGTACTACTTAATCATAGAGATCAAAGAGATAAATTTGAATGGATTCCTTTTGATAAACTAAAAAACGTTGAATTTATAGCCAACGGTGGGTTTGCTACTGTTTTCAAAGCTATTTGGACTGATGGTCCCATAATTAAATGGGATGTTAAAAATTTCGAATGGAAAAGAGTTAATGATCAACTAGTGATTTTTAAAAAATTGAATAATTCAGGAAACATGTCACAAAAATTTTTAAATGAGGTAAATTTTTACTTAATTGTAATGTAAATAATTTTCAATTAACTATTTTAATTATTCCATTAACTTAAAACCATATAGATTGAATTACAGTCTATATCGAATATTCAAGGCGATGTTGCTCAAATTTATGGAATTACGAAAGATCCAAAAGATAACATTTATGCAATGGTTATAGAATATGCACAGTATGGAAGTCTTAGAACATATTTAGATGAAAATTTTAATAATTTAAAATGGACAGACAAAGTAGAAATTTTATACTATATAGCAAGAGGTCTTAAAAACATTCATGAAAGAAATTTAATTCATCAGGATCTTCACGGAGGAAATATTGTAATGAGGTCTGAAAAATTGTCTAAGATTACAGATTTTGGACTTTGCAAACCTGTAGATTATAATGAAATGCCTGAATACTGTCAAAAAATTTATGGTGTGATGCCATATATAGCACCAGAAGTTTTATGCGGTAATAATTATACAAAGGCATCAGACATTTATTCTTTTGGAATTATTATATTCGAAGTGCTTTTCGGTTACCCGGCTTACTACAATATGCCACACAATAATGAACTAGTCCGCAAGATAGTTTTTGGCCACCGTCCAGAATATAGAACTCCTGCACCAAAATGCTTAATAGATTTGATGAAAAAATGTTGGGATGCTGAACCTCAGAACAGGCCCACGGCTAATGAAATTGATGATAAATTTAGGAAATGGTATTATGAACATACTGCACCAGCCTCAGAAATATCAGTGAATATTAAGGAAATCGGCAATGGATCAGAGAATTCTTTTGTTACAAATACTTCAGAAATCAATAGATTAAATTACGAAACTCATCCACAAGCATTTTATATAAGTCGACCAATTGATACGCAAGAGATTGCAGCAGTTCTAAATCTAAATGGTAAGAATTTCTTATAGATTATATAAGTGACGTCAAGTGAAATCAATCGTTGAGATTTAAATTTCAGAATTTATAACTTACCGAACTCAATCCTCGAAAATCTGGATAATTGAGTTTGATAAGCTGAAGTTCTAAAGTAATCTATTTCCCTTGGCGGCACCCATGTAATGTGCGTTATGTATGTGTATTTGGTTTTTATTTAGTATAACACAGCGAACAGAAACTTTAGTATAGGTGACAGACTCCAAATGACAGTCATGTGAACTCATGAAATTATTAATCATTGGCGGAGCTAATCATCTTTACTAAAGATGATCACAGGTAGCTTTAGTCATGTCGTAAAAATTGTCGATCCCGTGATCAACAACAGACTAGCTGAAACTAAAAAACCATATAATAAAAAAATCAGTTGTTTATCGAATGTTGGGTTGTAAATATATGTAAAAAGACATAGTTCTTGACTATTATTGCTTTCATAACATTCTGAATTAAATTAATAGTCAGTGTGGCTTAAAATCACGAAACTGACAAATTTTTGCGACATGACAAAGCTACCCAGTGATCACAATCTGAACCTGACCAAAACTTTAGTATTAAGTTGGCATTGTCCATCAGGTTAAGTTCGAGTTGACAACAGTGTTTATTTGTAGCACTTAGAGATACGAATTAATTGAAAAGTTGGTCAAATTTGAAAACTTATCGATTTAAAGTTTTCAAAGCAATTAATCTCGAATTGATTAGATATTAGTAAAATTTAACCAATTAAATTAATTAGCAGTGATACAAATCAATAATGTGATCATATAGTTAACAAATTAAATTAGTTAGAAACATATAAATGCAACAGGTCTAATTTATAACTAGCAGAAGATTCCTGGTTACTATGCTTCTTTTTGTACAATGTGTCCCAAGTATAGTATAGTTTTTAAACTTTGGAATATAGCATACTGGGCCGTTTACATGATAATTTACAAATGTTGACCAACTAATCAATTAGAAATTTTTATCGATTCGGATCACTATGTAACACTACAAACAGTAACAATACACATAAATTCTAATAAAAAGGTATATATATTTAATTAATGATTCTTCATATTTCGTATTTCAATCTTTCTTCAGGCTTTTCAGGTAAATTTTATATTTTATGATTTTATAAGATTTAAAATGTTGGCTTAATTTTTATTTTATTTTTAGATAAATATTACGTTATAGAATAACTCAAGTTCCCAATTAATTGATGGTTAATAATCATGTTTTAAACTATCTACACGAATGTTGATGAGTGTTATCATCTACTATATTATATAAGTTAAATTTAGTTATTAATTTGCCACATATTTTACTAATCTTTCTATGATAGCTGCATGATATAGTATTACAAACAAAAAAATATATACAGACTTCTTGATATTCTATTTTGTTAGTGCGTTAATGATAAATCGATTTTGAAGAATTTCGTGCTAAAATGTTAACTTAAATTCGGGTTGAGTTGACTTAGCAACATTATATTCCTTAAAAAAGCTACATAACTAAATTTAAACTGAAATTGTACAAATAGTTGGCTGTATTTTATTATTTATATACTTGATTATTACCGTATTTGCGCGTAATAACGGGCCGGGGCGTTAATTCTAATTTTGACAATTTGAAAAATTTAGCTATTTTGCTCAAATATCGCCCACGCACGTCCCGAAATAACGCACACCCGCCTTTAATGCTTTAAAAGGCTTCGAATTAAAAAATGCTAAATCCAACTCCCAACCATGACAAAGGAAGAAAATATCTACCGTATTCCTCCGAAAATAAACACCCCGAAAGTAAACGCTCAGCTAGAGACTGGACTCGAGTCAACTCGTAGCTTAAAAAACATAGTCTTAACTCGAATTAACTCGAGTCAAGACTATGTTTTTGAGCTACGAGTTGACTCGAGTCCAGTCTCTAGTCTCGGCTAATTTTTGCAATTGTACTAAAACAGATATAATCTGACATTTTTTTAAACCTTAAATAACTTTTGATCCATTGGACTTTTTTTACTGAAACAGTTACCAAAATGTTCTTCACATCGAGACGATTCTAACGAGCCCAAAATTGTCAAAACTCAATAAAGATCGCTAAGGATTTTTACAAGGACACGAACCTATAATGTGGGTAATCTGTTTGATGCGGTCTAACCGATTACTGGTGCGTCATCCTCGAAAAAACTTGGCGATCTTGTGATCCAATAATTGGATTTCGACAATTTTGGGCTCGTAGCATCGTCCCGATGTGAAGAACATTTTGGTAGCTGTTTCATTAAAAGCGGTCCGGTAGACCAAAAGTTATTTGAGTTTAAAAAGTTATCAAATTACATCTGTTTTAGCACAATTGCTAAAATTAGCCAAAACGACACTCCTACAATTCATATATACCCGAAAATAAGCACCTCTTATATAATAGAACTAGGCAATTAAATATCAGATCATATGAGGTTGAGTCAATAGAAACCAAGCAAATATTTTTTAATAAGTTTTTTTAA